CCACACTCATTATGAGGAACTCTTTTTCAAGGAGTACGGAAAATATTTATAAGATTTATAAGACACCCTAAAGCATCCCGTTTACAAGATAACTCAAGCATTTTTTCCCGTGTACGAGATAAGACATATATGTCTTATATCCGGGCGATGACGGTATGGGCACCAGCCATTATGACCAGAGTTTTTTTTCACAGCAATTCCAGTCAAGTGGGACTCATTTACGAAGTATAGGTTGTGCAAGTTACAGGTGGAATTTGGATTGTGAAGAATTACAATTTCTTTATTGTAGTCTGGCTTTTGCGGGGATTTCCGAGGACCTCACGCCCAAACCACCTCCGAGTCGCCCCCCACCTACCGAGAGTCTTATTCCCCCGAGGTCCTCGCCTAGCTAGGTTTTCAGACCTCCCGTACTCATATTCTCGATATTCAATGACTCCTTGCGATCTAAGGACGCTTCCCCTCCCTCGATCGATCCTGCCCTCGATCGATCGAGGTACAGGTACAGTGTCGCAATTGACAGGGTAACCAGATTTCGAGAAGGCTTGCGAATGTACAGTATTTTGGCGCTCAACGATCTTGTCACCTCCCCTGATGACGATCGATGTGCCTTCCTGGCCACACCGATCTCGGCTTTTGTAGGATCGAGAGTTTCCCCCCCTAAAATTTTCGATCCTGTCACCCAGGGCTCGCGATCGATCCGCGACTGTCACCTCCTACCAATCCCGCCCCAATCCTGCGATCGGTGTGCCCGATCGGTTTTCCGCAGCGATCTCGCGATCGATCGAGGGAGGGGACGCGTCCTAATTTGTTCAGTCATGGTACGAGTAATCAGGAAACTTTGATCGTCCATTGAACAGAACTGTTCTTTTTGCCGAGTTCTTCGCTAACGGGAGAGCATTTCAAAGTCAGCATGTTTTGCTTCTTGCTCCTCCTTCCCAGTCAGCAAAGGTGTTGCACCAAATACTCGTCGCAAGCCTGGCCGCCCACCAATCAGCGCTAAGATATTGCTTCTTCATCCAGCGAAGCTCACAGCGCGACTTCACGGGTTGGCAGAGCGAGGGGGGAGGAATCATCTTAGCAGCTGAAACTAACATGATATATCATGGCCGAAAGGTGTTGCTGTGCGCGGCTCGGTCGGAACAGGTTGTATGTACGTCTTCTGATTTGTCTGTAGGCCCCAATGGTGGCGTCACGCCACGATGCACGGCAGCTTCTCACCGCCAGCTCGGCATAGGAGCCCGCGGTTGCCTGCCGCGGTTGCCTGCCGCGGTTGCCTGCCGCGGTTGCCTGCCGCGGTTGCCTGCCGCGGTTGCCTGCCACGGTTGCCTGCCACGGCCGCGTGACTCCGAGTCCACACCACAGAAGCGCCCGCCAGCCAGCCAGCCAGGCTCCACGACCACGACTCAACAGGCTCGACTGGGGCAGCCACGGCATGCCTCAGCAGTGCGTCTCACGCGACTCGAATCACGGTCACGGTCGACACGATTCACGAACCGAGTCGAGTCCGACCCGCCGTGTTGCACGTCACGACGAATTTCCATGGAGTCGTTGGTTTTCTTTTACTACAATTGTAGGCTCTGGCGCTACCGTGGTAGCTGCGAGTGCCGTTGCCCCGCGGCTTCGTGCAGTTCGATCTGCTCCCGCAATCATGCAACTTTTCCGGAGATGCATTCTACGCCACAAGTTGTAGGGAATATCGCCGCCGCTGCGGCGCACTTTAATCCGCCCCGCAGCTCCTTCATTCTTTCCTGATGACGACCAAGTCCCTCCCTCCGAGGGAGTCCTGGCAGGCAGCGGTCTAGGCCTTTGACCACCCCATGAATCTGGATTCGCCGGTTCCCCGCCCATGAAACTCGCCAAGACTCCGAGACTGGCACGGGGGTGATACTATCCACCCACCTACCACCCACCCACCCCTTGCTGCGGTCGGATTCGTTTGGTTGAGCGGAAATAAATAAAGGTGTCCTGGGAATGAGAACAGCAGCAGTCGCAGCATATCATCCGATTCTTTTGCGCGAGAAACGTCCTTCCCAGAGAAAGCTCTTCGAGAATCAGGAGTCTCGGCTCGGCCGCCTTCCCCCAACCAACCCTAGTAACTCCGACTCACAGCGGGACCTCCGGAGGCCACTAGTTAGTGAGACACGCCGAGAGTTTCTGCCAGGAACGCCATTTGAGGCGCTTCAAAAGTGAGACATCACTAGTAGAGTTCCTGCCAGGAACGCCTCCTCCTAGGTGACTTTGAACCCTCGTGCGGCTGTTTGCAGTGCCTCGTGCGTACTATTACTACTACTACTGACATTACCACTATCACTCATGTTGCTACTCACAATGGCGTCACATCGTCATCGGCGGGTAATGAGCGTGGCCGTTGTTCTCAGCGCGGCCGAGGCTGAGCAGCAGCAGCGGCGGCAAGACGGTGGCCGTTGTCACGCTGCTGCTGACAAGACGGCGCCGGCCCACATGCAGGCGGCGACAACGGCGGTGAGCACTGCGAGGGGCTACCACAACCGCCATGGGGACCATTCCGCCGGTCCGGCGCAAAAGCCTCAGCCTTGCGACGCTCGCATGCGTTCTATTATGGGAGGGTCTCTGGTACGGCCCGTGCCTCTAATCGTGGCGGGCTCTCAAGTCCATGGCCTCGTCGCACCCACCTTTCGTGGCGGCTCCGCCACATATCTCAAGAGCAGCAGCAGGAGCAGCAGTAGCAGGCGAAGCAGGAGGACCAGCAGCATCGACTAGACTACCCACGAAGGAGGCGCTGCAGAAGCAGCGCAGGCCGCCACATCATCTCCTGCGCGTCATGCCGCCCAATGCCAGCGAGTGCCCCATTCCTCCTCGCCGCTCCCACCCATCGCTTGCCTCCCGCAGCTTCCCTCGCAGCACCTCCCTGCCTCTCCAGAAGCTCGCGCCGCCTCTTAAATCGCCTCGCTCTTCCGCTCTTTTCTCTCACTCCTCTCACTCCTCTCCTCCATCCACCCCCTCGTTACCCTCCTCTCCAGTCTCCGCAGCTGCTTCTGCATCCTTGTCTCCCTCTGCTATTTCTGCTTCTGCAAAAGATTTCCCTTCCTCTTTCAACCGTATTCACAGTCAGCATTCGCATTCAGTCACTGAGGCTCCCACGCCCGGGCTCGCCTGTAGATACCCCACACCTGCCCTGCGCCCGAACCTGTCCAATAGCCCTGGAACAAGCCCGGCCAGCAGCCGTAAAACCAACCCAAGAAGCGGATTTCAGCCCATTGTGGGCCAGCTGAGCTCTTCCGAATCAGGAGGTCAGGTTCGGCCGGGCCTGAGACAGACACGCTCATGCGGCAGTGCAAAACTAGCAGAGGAGAGCCCACGTTACGTTGCAAGCCAGAAGCTTGTTCGGCGCGTGTCATTCAACAGCATTGTGCAGGTGAGGCGGGTCATTGACCTGCATGCTGATGGCGGAAACTCCAATGCTGACAAATACTGCAGTGACACTGACGGCTGGTACTCCAATGCTGTCTGTTGTGGCCGGCAGTGCCGCAATACTATTTCCTGCAGCAAGAGGGAGCAGCAGCAGCAGCAGCAGCAGCAGCGACAGCAAACCACATCTGGTGACTCCTTCTCCAGCCTATCTGCTCCTTTCAAGTTTCATCTTCCAACCTCCATACCCTCCCCCCCTTTCTCTTTGCAACTGCCTTCCTCCCCCTCGTCTTCATCCTCCTCCCTCTCCCAATCACCCTCCACTGATTCTTTTCCCCATCTGAAGCCCCACCCTCCTCCACCTCGCAACTGCTACCACTCCTCCCTCACCTCCTCGTCCCCACCCTCACCTTCCTCCTGTTCCACATCCCACCCACATGCCTGCTCTGGTATGCTTCCCTCCCCAGCTGCTAGAAGGCTGATCGCACGCCTTCGTGCATCAGCAGTAGCAGCAGCAAGGCAGGGCAGCGAGCAAGTTGTGACTCATGCATGAGTGCCATGATCATTGAGATCCACTTGTACATAACCATTTGCCTGGCTTCTCAATGCTGTAAAGAATCATACCGGTACTTGTGTGATATTTGTACTACTGGTAGTAGAATGCCACCGTGTAATGTAACGGGCTTCGCGCCAAAGGCAAAGAGGGAATGAAAGGCACGAGCCGTTTACTCACAAGGGCCACGCAACTTCATGATTTTGATCTGTCACACAAATCGGACTGAATTTTTTTATTCTGCTTCAGGGATGTCTCTGTTTAATGGAGCAAGGTACAAGATTCCCAGTACGTACATGATCAATCTTCATTGCATGTGTATGGTCTTCGGTTTGAGGGGGAAATTATAGATATATTGCTGGCATTGATTGGAAAGGTCAAACAATCGGCAATATCGAAATCAGGTTGAAGTGGGACAAATAATAGTTTCAAGAAACTGAACTGCGCACTCGTGAACAACGTGTACCGCGTACAGCACCCCCATTGGGGTCACCTCGTTTGCTTCTGTTGCACGCCACCCTGGCGCTTCGCCGCTCTACACACGACTAAACCCTAACCGACCGGGTCACATCCCAGCGACGCCTAGAGGCGACCTGCCTCAGTCCAGCCAGCACGGACCGCATGCGTGGCATGACATCATCATCGTATCATAATCGCCTATTCTGCTCAGCCAGTCGCTTATGGGAATGTGCCTAAGCTTCAGCCAGTTCGCGCACCGGCCTAACCAGGCAGGCAAAGTCCCAGGGAAGATTCCTTAGGCTTTCCGTAGGCTTGTACCGCGTATTATCCCGACCCAAGGTCGTCAGCACGAACGTAATTCCAGCCCAACCACCGTTGCGTGGCGCCGCGGACGTTACGGCGACCATTAATTCGTCTCGCCCTCCTTACCGCGAGTAGTAGTACATATGCTCCCTCACCTTTTGCTTGGTAATGCCGACAAGCAGCAGCACCACTAGCATTTTCCATACCGTGTGCAACCTACTGTAGTGCCTTCTTTGTTCCGTGTGGGCTCGACTTTACATTAAAGCGGGGCGCTTCGATGGGCGTGTTCACAGGCGCAATGCTCGGAGCGCACCAGGCCGTTGTGCAATCTGTTCCAGCGAAGCCGCCGGCGCCATTCAATGCTCGCATTCGACGGTTTGAATGCCAGATCAGTACAACCACGTGCCGCCCGTCACAGTTTGCGAGGACGCGCCACGCGTCAACCTCCACCCTTCCTTCCACCTCTATTAAAACTACCAGTGCTATCTGCAGCAGCGCGCCGCTTGCTCTCACCTCCGCGTTTACCACAAGCGATCAGTCCACGCAGCTCCGCAAACGCGCGTACGATCAACAGACGGCTTTCTCGCACAACGCGTGGTCGGGCCGCGGAGCGGGCTCGGTGTCCCTTCGCCAGCCCCGCGCGTTTCTCGGGATCTTCAGTCCCGTGGTCGCCGCAATCGTCGCCGCGTTTGCCGCTGTGTTCGTGGTCGGAGCCGTACTGAAAGCGGTCGTCGCGATTACCTTCGCCATGGTCGCAGTTTCCGTTATCCTCCCTATCGCATTCTTCGTTTTGCTGTTCGCGCTCCCGCTCTTCATCCCCGCGCTACAGCTCGGAATAGCAGCCGCGGTCGGGACCGCAGGGGCAGCTTTCGCCCTCGTCGCGACTATATTAGGAGCGGCGTGGTCGCTTGGGCTTCTCAATCGCGGATCCAATTCCCGCAACAGCGGTGAAGCCAGACGCGGTGGAAGACGGGGGAAGAGAGGGAAGCGCAGCAGTGATTTTGAAAGCGAGATGATGGATTACCTGGATTTGAGCCCTAAGGAGCGGGAGAAAATGAAGAAGGCGTTGAATCAGCTTGGAGTGAGGAGGTGGTTCAATGGCGCCGCAAGTGAGGATAATCAATGGAAGATGTGGGTAGACTATATTGAGTGCAGTGAGGACGAGGAGGATAGGGCCGATGAGAGGAGGAGCAGGGAGCGAAGGGGTGCAGGAGGTGACATGGAAAGCTTTTTCATGAGTAACGATAACGAGCGTGGTGCGGGAAAGAAGGGGAGTGGCAGTGGGACAGGGGTGTGGCTGGAGGAGGAGGAGCGGAAGCGGATGAAGAAGTTTGATGAGAAGCTGGTCGAGAAGAGTGTGCGGAAGATGGGTGAGTGCTTGCAATTTCATGGTATAAGGTGAGTACATTCTGACTGAGGATCACTTCGACTAATTTTTGTGCCGTTTCTAACTCTAGGCATGGGACTGTTGGGACTGTGTGAGACACCAAGTACTTTCTTGTTCATTTGTGGCCTCTTTTGCTTGTTGTATTGTGCTTGTGCTTCTGGTTGCATTTGGCAGGAGATCCATCTTCTTGGTCAATAGACCAGGTGGCTTCCTGGCTTGAGCTGCAAGGTTTTGGTGCATATGCAGACACCTTCAAGGAACAACGCGTCTGTGGTGGGGTGAGTGGTTCTGCCACACTGATCTGTTTCGTTTTTGTATTGGTGTTTTCTTGCTTTTAAAATGTGCCGGTTTGCTGCTTGTTTGCTTACAGGTTCTGCTCAACCTGACGACGTCCGAGTTACGGGACGATTTGGGCGTGAAGAGCCTTGGTGAGAGGAAGTTGATGCTCGAGAGCATACATGAATTGAAAAAGATTGGGGATTCAGCATCAAGATAGTTAGCTCCTTCTGGTTGTTTTTTTTAGGGGGTTGCTGCATTGTACGTTGTAAGGAGGAACAATGTATTGAGAGCGCTCTATTATGCTGTACACCGACGCACCGCATCCTATTGCCCTTGGCTTGGTGCTTCGGACGTGGAAACTTATTAGGGTTACCACACCTGCACGATAGATGCTTCGGTTTAGAAAAGCTGGTTCGCATAGCAAAGCCTACCTCACGACGAACATCGCTCGCATCGCTACGATTTTTCCTTCCCTCGCCAGTCCAAGAGGCACTGCTGACGTGCCAACCCCCCCAAACCCACCGAATCCAGTGACGTGTTGCGGATACGTCGGGCAGCTTGTCCCTACGGCGAAAATTTCAAAGGCTGCCCTAGAGAACCACTCACAGAAAGGTTCGGGAAAAAGCAGGTCGCCCATTGGTGCACCTGTTTAGGCTGGTTCGGTTCGCGTCGCGCATAACCGCATTTCAGAATTGAGAGTGGAGGGGGCATTCCATGAAATGCTTCCCCGTTTCTTATTCGCGGTCAAATAAGAAAGCAAGCTTGCTTGGGCTGGTTGTTGCGCACAATGAAGGAAGTACCTGAAAGTACTTCGAGCAGCAAAGAACCGAGCTCCCAAGAAGTACGTACATGATATCGGCGGTCACCGTATTTAGAAAGTCTAATAATGCTCTCAGTTTGAGTAGAATTCTGCGACGAGGCGTCAATCTCTAGTCACGACGAGGCGTCGTTCTCTAGTACCGAGCATGTTTCTCTGAGCAACTCGGCCACCATTTGTTATTGTGCAAAACTAGCAATGATTACCAGGAGCGAGGAGTTGGCTGCGCTCCTATCTCACACACACCGCAGCTTCACGATGCGTCCTGTATAGCCTACTTCCACCGGAAGCCATGGTAAAGGTAACTCTCCCGTCCAACCGTCAGCCTCCGCCGGTAGAGCCGCCGAAGCAGCATTGCATGATACACAATCAGCGATGGCGTTGCGTAGAGAAACCGAACGAGACGAGCGAGCAGCGGCGGACGGAACTCACGGAGCCGTGCTTCTCACGTCAATGGCAGCGCGACGCGCATCACGCGACAGAGTGGCATAGCGAAGAGCCGTGCGGCAGGAGGCAGAGAGGGAAGCAGAGAGGGAGACGAGGAAAAAAACATAGAGCGAGGCATAAGGAAAGTCGTAGAACAATGCGAAACGTAAGGGCGAGATGGAGACAGAACGACGAGGAACAGAAATGCACTTTCCAGCAAAAGCGGCGGGAGCAGCGGGAGCGGCGGGAGCGGCGAGTGCCACGAGAGGGTCAGCGGCAGTGCCAGTGGCACGGCAGCGGGTGGCCGCGAGAAACGGGACGGCGGGGAGGAGAGAGTAGGGGGCTTTACTGTCCGCAGGGCAGCGCGTGGCTTCTTCGTTGTGCTCTCCTCTTGCTGCATCTATTGCCTCTCACCGTCGACTCTCGGGACGTTCCAGGTACGTCCGCCTCTGCTGCACTCTCGTGCAATCCCTTTTTCTCTCCAATTTGCGGCTGCGTCTCGGGTGTTTTCTTGATCTTCCCGCCATCCATTTCGTCTCCACAGCCCTGCTCACCTCTCTCCCTTCCCCCCTCCTTATTGAAGCTACTCCTTCCCCATTCCTCCTGCCCTTCCTCCCGCGCTTTCTTCCGTCCTTAATCTCCCCTTTCGTCCACCACTCCCAACCCCCTCTTCCCCCACTCCCTTACATACCTTCCCCATTCAGGCGGCCATCCTGCCGTGTACATTGTCCGCCTGCGTTCCGCGCCCGCCATCCCCGCATACGTTGGCGGAATCCCCGGTTTCCCCGCCACCGCCTCCCCTGCGGTTGTCGCGGAAGCAGCAGCGGTAGCCGCAGCGAGGGGGAAGGGAAAACGCGCAATAACCCACGGGATAACGAGCGCAGCCGACGCGGACGAGAATGACGAGTTGGACGATGATGACTATAACGAGGACGACGGGGATAGTGACGGATATGATGATGATGATAATACCGAGACGGATGTTCCCTCAATGGCGGGTATCCGCGTTAGTGTCAAGCCGCGGAGTAGCAGCGGCAGCGGGGGGTGGGAGGGAAATCCGCGGGGACCCGTGCCGGCGACGCGCGGAGTGCGCGTGAACGTGCAGACGGCGCACGTGAAGGCGTTTGCGCGCATGCTGGTGCGACAGCAGCAGCAGGTGGTGGCGGAGACCCGCTTGAGCGAGCGCAACATGCTCTACAGGTGCGCGCGAGACTGTGGACCGTTGTAGTAAAGTGTTTATACATGCATAGGTGGTTGGGTGCATGGGTGCATGGGTAGTGAGTGAGATTTGGATCGGATCAAGCAAAAGTGGCAGCAGCAGGTGGTGGCGGAGACACGCGTGAGCGCGCGGAACTTGCCATACAGGTATACGCTGGGCTGCCTCTGCTACTCTACAAAAAAAGACTGCGAGTGGGGGCTGGCTCTGCAAGTGGGGGCTGTGGACCGTTGCGCCAAAACTACGGGTTGGGTAGTGGGTGATAGTTGGGTCGAATCATGCAACAGTGCAGCAGCATGCAGCTGGCAGCAGCAGCTGGCAGCAGCAGGTGGCAGCAGCAAGTGTTAGTAACTGGTGGGTGGGTCGGTGACTTTTCAAGTGTGAGGGTCTGCACAATGCAGCGGGTGCACATGCGTGTTTAGTAGCAGCTCCTGGCGAGGTTGCTGGGTCGAGGGGCAAGGATAGTCGGATCGAATGGTGGTAATAATCCCAGTGACTTTACCACCATCCGACTCAAAAGTCTCACCCGTGTCCATTCCCCCCCCCCCACTTGGGCCCCGCGGGCCGCTCCCCACTTTCCCCCTCCCCCCCCACCCCCTCCCTGTCTTATACAGTTACAAGTTCGCAGCCAATGGCTTCGCAGCGCGTCTCACTCACGCGGACGTTAGGAGATTAAAGCGCCACGCTATGGTCGCTGACGTCACCCGGAGTTACGGCGTCCGCTCTGCCACCACCTACACGCCGAGATTTTTGCAGCTGCCCGGATCCATGTGGGCCGCTAGCGGCGGGGGGAGCCGGGCAGGTGAAGGAGTGGTGATCGGCGTGGTGGACACGGGAATATGGCCCGAGCACCCTTCGTTCCGAGTAGCTAACGTGAGTTTTATTTTCCTTCTTTTTTGTGTTTTTTATACCACAGAGGAGTAATTTCTGTTCCTTCTCCTTGTTTCTCGGGCATAAGCAGGCGCGTTAAGGCTATTGGCGCATAAGAATCTTCTCAACTCCTCCCCCCCTCACAGATGCAGTCGCACTTGAAAGCACCCACCCACGCACGCACCCAGACCCGTCTCTACCCCCAATCCGCCTTCCCATCCACCCCACATCGATTCCCCGTCCGCTCCAGTCCTCGCACGTGTACCCGCGCCCGCCGCGCCGGTGGGCGGGCAAGTGCGTGCGCACGCGCGACTTCCCCGCGTCGCGGTGCACGCGCAAGCTGGTGGGCGCGCGCTTCTTCTCGCGCGCGTACGAGGCGCAGGGCGGCGTGGTCGACACGCAGTACGACTACCGCTCGCCGCGCGACGCGGACGGGCACGGCACGTGGTGTGCGGGGTAAGGGGGTGTGCGGGGTAAGGGGTTGAGCAGGGTAAGGGGGTGTGCGGGGTAAGGGCAGAGAGCAAGGCAAGACCAGAGAGAGAGCAACGGATGCACATGCACATGTTCACATGACACTTCTCGCGGTGTCCTTGAGACAAGGGGCACAGCAAGTTAGAACACAGCCACTCTCTCCCTTTCCCTCCCCTTCCTTCCCTTCTCTCCCTCCTATCTCACCCCTATCTCCGAGGCACTGGCACCACCTAGCGTGATGTTCTACTCCACATCATCCCCCTCCGTTTCCCTCCCACCCAATGTCGCTCCACCCCACCCCGCCCCATCCCACCCCACCCCAACCCATTCCATCCCATCCCATCCCATCCCATCCCATCCCATCCCATCCCATCCCATCCCATCCCATCCCATCCCATCCCATCCCATCCCATCCCATCCCATCCCATTCCATCCCATCCCATCCCATCCCATCCCATCCCATCCCATCCCATCCCATCCCATCCCATCCCATCCCATCCCATCCCATCCCATCCCATCCCATCCCGTCCCATCCAACCCCATCCCGCCTCCGCTCGCCACAAGCACAGCAGCAGGCACGGGAGGCACGCCCGTACTCACATCCGAGGGGCCCCCGTGCGCTCGCTCGGTGTCGCCAGCGGCATGGCACCTCGTCGTCCTCTGGACCAACGCCACTCTTTGCCAGCTGTGGGGAACTGGTGTTCCTCATCTTCCCTCTCCTTTTCTCCCTCCCACGCCACCTCACCCAACCCCACCCCACCCCATCCATCCCACCCCATCCCCGCCCCCCGCTCCACCCTCCCAGAACAGCAGCAGGCACGAGCGGCACGCCCGTACTCACATCCGAGAGGCCTCCGGTCCGTTCCCTCGGCCTCGCGAGTGGCATGGCACCCGGCGCGCACCTGGCCGTCTACAAAGTCCTCTGGACCAACGCCACTCTCGCTGGCTATGGGGGGCTATGGGGAACTGGTGTTCCTCATCTCACCCAAACCCACCCCACCCAAACCCACCCCACCTCATCCCACCCCATCCCCGCCCCCCCCCTTCCCGCCCCACCCTCACCAGAACAGCAGCAGGCACGGGCGGCACGCCCGTACTCACATCCGAGCGGCCCCCCGTCCGCTCCCTCGGTATTGCCAGCGGCATGGCTCCCGGCGCGCACCTGGCCGTCTACAAAGTCCTCTGGACCAACGCCACTCTCGCCGGCTACGGCGAGCTGGCAGACGTGCATTACGCCATCGACCGCGCGATTAAAGACGGGGTGGACGTGCTCTCGCTCTCGCTCGGTGGTTTGGGTCCGGACCAGCATTATTTTGATGATTTGCTGTATTTGTTGGCGAATCAGGCGGGCATGGTGGTGGTTACGGCGGCGGGGAACCAAGGCCCGGCGCCGAACCTGGGGCTGTGGAACAGGTTCGGGATCTACCGGACGATTAGCAACTTCTCGCCGTTCTACCTGACTGTTGGGGCAAGGTGCGTGAATGGGACTTGGAAGGGCTGAGATGCGATTGGGGTGGGTGGAATGTGATTTGGTGGTGTTGATGTGATTGATGACCGCTCTGCTGCGTGCCGGCTTGCTCAGTAATGCCCCTCCTCTGCTCTATGCAACCTGTCAAATCACCATTTCCTCCATACCTACCCCCTCACCCGCCCATTCGTTCATCCTCCCACTCACCCACGGTGCTACCTACCCAGCTCTATCGGCTGCCGGTTCCTCAAGGAGCTAAGGCTGGGCAGTGGCAAAGTTGTGTTCGCATCTAGAGTAGGCTCATACACCTCCCTCCCCTCGTGTGATAAGTCAATTTTCTAGTCGACTCAAAAAAATAGAGTGGGCTCATTCACCTCCCTCCCCTCTCCCATACCTTCCCACTTACCCATCCATTTATCCATCCCACCCACCCACAGTTCCATAGGCCGCCGGTTCCTCACGGAACTAAAGCTGGGCAGTGGCAGGGTGGTGTACGCCTCTGGAGTGGGCTCTCTGCCTCACACGTCTCTCTCTCCTCTGCTCTACCCTCCTCTCCTCTCCCATGCTCCTTCTGGCAGCTCTACTGGCCGCCGTTTCCCCACGGAGCTAAGGCTGGGCAGTGGCAGGGTGGTGTACGCCTCTGGAGCGCTCATGTGCCTCCCTCCCCTCTCCCATACCCTCCCATACTCTCTCATACCATCCATTTATCCATCCCACCCACCCACAGCTCCATAGGCCGCCGGTTCCTCACGGAACTAAAGCTGGGCAGTGGCAGGGTGGTGTACGCCTCTGGAGTGGGCTCGGGCACGTATGCCACGCGCCACCTGCCGCTGCTCTCTGCTGTCGACGCTGCTGGCCCCGACAGCTCTCTGGAAGGGGTGAGTTGCTGCTGATGCCGGGGATTGAGTCGACGCTGAAGTATACGGTGGGTGGTTACGGGAATGACTGCTTGCCTCGCCGCTGCTCCCTCTGCTGCCGACGCTGTTGGCCCTGACAGCTCATTGGAAGGGGTGAGTTGTTGCTGCTGGTGCTGGGGGTTGAGTCGACACTGAAGTCACCTGGGTAGATGGTGGGGGTGTGGTGGTTGGTTGGGGGAATGACAGTCTGCCGCTGCTCTCTGCTGTTGACGCTTCCCGCCCAGACAGGCTACAGCTCTTCAGAAGGGGTGACCTGCTGTAGTGGTGGCGTGGAAGGTGGTGGGCGTGTGGGGGGAATAATCAGTTGCTCACTTTAGGGGTGAATTGTGGTTGCTGACTGCAATGCAACATACTAGCTGGTTTCTAGCACGGCATCTACATTGGGTGGCCGACAGCGCTGGTGGTTACCTGCGGTGAATACGGAGACTTCCTGGATTGTCAGGGAGTGCTTCGTGTGTGTCTGCTGCCTGCTCTGATCTGCTCACTCGTGCTAATCCTCATGCTTATGCTGCCGCCCAACCTGAACTACCATCTCATACCATTCCATCCCGTCCCCTCCCTTTTCCCCCCACACACACCAGGCCATCCACTGCCTACCGGAATCACTCTCCCCTGCACGAGCACGGGGCGCCATAGTCCTCTGCACGCGCGGCATGGTGGGCGTTCAGGACAAGCTGCGCGCAGTGGCAGCAGCCGGAGGAGTAGCCATGATCCTCGCAAACGAGGACGGCGGCTTAACCGACCTCAACACTCTCTCAGCCACTGCCGGCTCTCCCATCCCGTTCGTCCACATCACTCTCGCGCAGGCTCGGATCGTCCGAGCCTACATCCAGAGCACGCCCAAGCCTACTGCGACCATCATGGCCCGGTGCCACGTTTTGGAAAACGCCGCACCGCCCACGATTGGCTCGTTCTCCTCCACAGGACCCACAGTAAACCCTAGTTTCGCCGCGACCGCGCCTTACCCCACAAATGACATCTTAAAGCCCGATGTGGTTGCGCCTGGGGTGGATATTTGGGCTGCGTGGACCGGGCAACCGCGCAGCCCCATTTCGCCCATGGCTGTTGTGAGGCCGAGGCGGGAGGAGGTGAGGGGTGGAGGTGCTGATGGTGAGGCTTGGAGGGGAAGGAGAAGTGTGAGTGGAAGCAGCGAGGTCTTCAACAACAGCAGCAGAAGTAGCGGCAGCAGGAGAATTAGCAGCAGCAGCAGCAGTAGCAGCGGCAGCAGCAGCAGCAGCAGCAACAGCTTTGGCATATCCCGCACCGGCAACAGCATACTCTCAGACGATTTCCGGTCGAGACCAACAGCAATCACACGCACGCGGCCATCGTTCGCTCTCCTCTCGGGAACTTCCATGGCCACACCCCACGTGGCCGGCATCGCAGCCATGGTCGTTCAAGCACACCCTCACTGGACACCCGCGCAGGTCATGTCGGCCATTCTCACCACGGCCAGAAGCTCGTATGCCATGCTGGCAGCATCCATGGCCCGCATCAAGCCGAGAAACCCCGTTGTGTTGCAGCCACAGCTGCGGCCAAGTCAGCCCAGAGGGTCTCGAGGAGCGCGGGTGAATGATCCTTCTGCTGGTAGGCGTGTGGTCGAGGGAGTTCCAGGCCGGGGAATGCCGCCGCTGCAGCCAGTGCCTAGAGTCTCCAGGCCTGTAACAAGGAGGCCTGTGACAGGACGGCCTGTACAGAGCCTGGATAGGAGCAGGCGGATTGCAAGGGCGGAGAGATTGGAAAAAGGCATTGCAGGGGGAGGAGGATTGGTGGTGAAAGGAGACAACAGCGGGAGGCTATTACTAACTACTAACAATTGGGATGGTAGCAGGAGTACTGGTACCAGCAGGCATGGGAGAGGCATGGTCAGTAGCAGCAGCAGCAGCAGCAGCAGTAGTTGGAGAAACAGCAGACATAGAGCCACAGACTTAAACCCCATCAGCAGCAGCACCACCACCACCAACTCCTCTCTGGTCTACCTCCCCATCCGAACAGCCCTGGGCAAAGTTGCCACGCCTTGGGACATGGGGCAAGGCCATATCTACCCCCCCTCCATCCTCAACCCAGGACTGACATTCAACGCTGGGATCTACAGCTACCTTAATTTCCTTGCAGGGCAAAGCATGGCCCGGACGAGGCGACTCTGGCCCAAGTGGAAACTTCAGCCGCGAAAAGCATACAGGCTCAACCGTCCGTCAATCTCCATCGGACGGCTGAGAGGCTCTGTGGTGGTGAAGCGTTCGGTGACAAGCGTGTCCAAGCAGACGTGCACATACGAGGCGAAAATAGCAATGTTTCCGGGTAATGTGAAGGTTGTAGTGAAGCCGATGAAGTTCACGATAAAGCCCGGGGAAATGGTGACATATAGCGTTAACCTGACAGTGCTCAAGCCGTCTCCAACAGGAGTTTTTTCATACGGAAGCGTGGTATGGATGGATGAGAGAGGGCATGTGGTGCGGTCGATCCTCGCTGTACAGCCTGTGGCATTGAGATAACAATGCACTAAGTGCATTTACTTATTTCTTGCCTGTATGAACTGTGGGTCTTGCTGACAAAATAACTAGTAGGTTTTGCATTTAGTGTTTGTCAAATATGTGCACATTCCCCTTGGTTGGGCCTTGATTTATCACCTGCTAAACCACTTAACAATTTCGTAAGCATGAATCTTTTTTAGAGTGTGTACCACTGTATTTTGTGAAAGCGCAGTTGACACTATCGCAGCAAGGCAACTGCGAGGGTCAATGTTCATAGTACATAACGTTGCCTTGCAAGAACTAGAAAGCAAGCATCCTCAATCAGTCATATTTTTGCCAAAAAAAAAAAACAGCCACGATAATGTGCACTCCGGTTTAGGGGTTGGTCCAAAGCAATCGAACTATTAGAATATAACATTAATATATAATTAAATGCTTTGCTAGTTAGTGTAGTATCACCCTATCTTGTCGTTAGTGTCAGAGGTCCACTGGTGATCCCCGATTGATCCTAGGGAAGGGTTACAGGCACGTTGGTCTGGGGGGTTATGGGCGCACTCACCCGCTACACAAACAAGCCCTTTTATCCCAGTGGTTAGTGGCTGGGATTCTGACATGGTATCAGAGCAAAGGTCTCGGGTTCGAATCCCGGTGTGTGCACTTCGGGCATCCCAGTGCGGGGGGGTGTCAGAGGTCCACTGGTGATCCCCGATTGATCCTAGGGAAGGGTTACAGGCACGTTGGCCTGAGGGGTTATGGGCGCACTCACCCGCTACACAAACAAGCCCTTTTATCCCAATGGTTAGTGGTTGGGATTCTGACAGTTATGTGGTCTACCTCCCTTCACCACCTCCCGCTCTTACTATCTTGTACTCCCATTCTATAGTGCAACCCTTTCTTTTTGGCCTACTCTCTCGTTCCTAGCTTCTAGCCCTCTAAAACCCTAAGCTACTATGTTTGTTACGAACCAAGTCTACGCGCGTGATTTCAGGTTTTGGTGTCACGCGAACTTAGTTTGAAAGAATGGCGCATGCAAGCTATGTATATAGAAATTCTTTAAGCAATTAGTTTGTTAAGACATGCAAGAGTAAGTAAATAAGCAGCCACGGTATGCACAAAGAACGTGGCTATATGTAGGCACGACACAAGAAGGATGACCAGGATGTTACGCGGATGTTCTGTCCATCGCGAACGGAAGCATCGCGAGTTCGATAGAAGAAACTTGGTCGAAATCACGCGCACGAACAGTCGCGCGGCAATAACAAAATCTCCACTGAGAATATGTTTTTACGCTTTTATTATAAGTGCACTGTTCGAAGTTGACATTACAGGGGCTCGCCATAGCAAGGGATTTGAACCTACTGGCGAGTCAGCGGGGTGCAACCGAGCACAGCGGTTGCGGCCCGCGTGGTAGTTCAAGAGTCGAATCGACAGCAGGAGGCAGCATCTACAGTACGCGAAACTGACTACCGGGGCGCGGCAGGATACCGCGCCCTTGCCGAAGCTGAAAGGTTTCGGTAGTGCGACTGTAACAAGGCAACCCAAGCGACGCAGCGCAACTGTTATACAGTTGCGTCCCAGTAACCATTTACCCTATGCGTTTGCTATATAGCAGAATGTAATGCCTTGCTATTATCACACAATTCCCAAGCTTGTGTCCGGCCTACCCTCGGCCGCTGCTCTGGCACCAAGTTACAAGCTAGGAGAGCTACCTCTGAGTGACCATTGCCCCGCCGTAGGGACGTCGTTAATTCCTAGAACTTCCGCTGCGCTCTAACGATTTCCTTATTTCCAACAAACGCAACCTAGTTCGGTGCAAAAAGCATTATAATTTTATGAAAGCAACTAAACCAAGTAATAAGCTTAAAACGAGCATGAGGAACAATATAATTAAGTAAGATCAAGTAGATATGGACAAGCATAGCTGCTGCGCTCTCACTCGGGTCGTCACACGCGGCTCGAATGGCTGCTCCATGGTCTGGTTCGTACTCTCACTTCTACCATCAGCTTCGAGGTGCTAGGACGAAATGAACTACGGACAAGTTCCGTACTACTCCCGGGATTCTTCGAACAGATGTTGGTGAATCTCGTACCCTTGTTGCTAGATCGTGGCTGGTATCCTAGGCGGGCGAACGACGGTTGCAAAGAACAGAAGAGTGATTTTCTTTAGCTGATAGCTATTCTGGACAGCCAACCAACAACGATTATGACCTTGCCGTTTCCACTGGGGCTTGCGGATTACCCCGTAAAGGAATCTATAGTTACTTGCTGTCAAGCGCGCTCGGGCGGCAGAATTAGCTGGCACGCTTGTTGACCCACTTTTTCTTTGCGTAAGCTCTTCTTCACTTGGCACGTGGGACACGATCCCAAGTGTTGTTAAGGCCAGTCAACAGATCCAGCTAGTAGTAGGACCATTGTAGCTGCTGACGCGTTTTTTCAGCATGGAAATTAACCCAGGCAATCCCGTCGTGTGCCTCTTATTGCAGCAGTTCCCGTAGCATGGAGGTACCCAGATGTGTTTGGTGTCAATTTCCACATAATAGACTCTGTTAGCCTCTGTCAGCTACTGCAAATTGCCAATGGTGAAAAATGGGTCCGTACTGAGGCGGATGGACTGCCCGCCACTCCCCGACCGGCACGCAACGAAACGAAGGGCGGCGTCGACGACCAGGTCGACGGTGGTAACCAAGTCGGCAGCGAAGGCAGCACGAGGCTTCGTGGAGTGATTCGGGCCGCTGGCTTTGGCGTCGGCGGAATGCAGGCACGAGTTCTGCGCTCGGCGGCAGCGGGAAGTTCGAACGGCAACATCGATGGTCGACGCCTTTCTCCTCAGCGGAGTGGAGCCAGGCCGACATCGGCGACTCATGCGTCTGCTGGTCGCGACGGAGGCATCGCGCCAGCGTACGGCTACTTCAAATTTTCGCCGGACAAGATCGCTGTGCCGCAGCCGCTCGAAGGACGACATGACTTGATCACATGGATTGAGTCAATCGAACCTCAGCTGGAGATCGCCGGATTGAAGAAGTTCGTTGACGGCAAGGTGGAGATGCCGGACGAAGACGACTCTGAAATGCTGGCGGAATTTCGCGCTGCTCACCTTCTGACCTTCATGGTCATTTCGAGGTGTTGTTCGCCGCTGGTGCAAGTCGCGCTGAAGCAGTGCCGACTTCAAGTGGACGCCGGCTACCAAGCTTGGCAGTACATCATGCGCACCTACAGAGCGACCGACGACCTCTACATCAGCCAACTGGAGAAGAAATTGGCCACAATTCGCATGGGTGAGCAGGAATCGGCGACCGAGTACTGCAATCGAGCGCGGCGAATTTTGGCCGACATGCGGATGGCTGGTTTCGAGTACTCGGTGGCGTCGTATGTCACGCATGTCATCAACGGCCTCCCTTCGAGCTACAATTTGATGCGACGGATGCTGATAATGCCCGGCACGCGCGAAACTCTGAACGAGGATTCGCTTTCGAGTCACATCATCCAGAACGACTTTATGCAGGAGTCTGAGCGGTCTTCAGAGCTCCTTCCGCAGGCTAACTACGTTGCTCCGACGAAGCAGGGACGTCAGACGGGGCAGCGTGGGAAGTCGGGCGGAGGTGGAGGCGGTGGCGGAAAGTCGTCGAACACCAAGTCTACGGAGAGCGCCGACCGCGGAAAGTCAGCGAAGGGCAATGATCGCGGAAGCAGTGGTTCGCGTTGAGGAGGACGCCGCTGCTACATTTGTGGAGACCCTGACCACCTCTCCTACGACTGCCCTGATCGCGACGAGTCCGACGACAATCAGAGAGGGAGCCGCGGAAAGTCTGACAACGCCAGTCGTTCAGAGGACGGGAAGTCTGACAGCGACAGTCGTCGTCGAGACAACCAGCCGCGCAAGGAGAAGCCTGCGTCCTCGAAAACGGCGTCGAAATCAGAGGGTGATGCTTCGAGCGAAAAGAAAGCCTCTTGTTCGATGGTTGGCGTGGTCGAGCCAACAATTTCGCTGGCACCGGAGGCTGGCGAAGACTTCCAGGCGGTCGCAGCAGCCGTCCAGGCGAATCCGACTGTAGTTCTCCTCGACAGTGGCTGCTCCCATCATCTGATGGGAACGCGAGAGGCCTTCGTCGAAATGAAGCCAAGAGGAGAAATCCGTCACGTGCGCGGATTCAACGGGGCGCTTCAGAACGTCGAAGGCCGTGGCACAGTTGCTCTGAAAGGGGAGACTAGGAAGCAGATTCTCATCCCCGACGTGTTGTACGTTCCGGGCGTACACGCGAACCTACTGTCTTCTGGCCAGCTGGAGGAAAACGGCGTGAAGCTGCAGAACGAGGGTGACGAGATGCTGCTCGTTTCCGCTGCAGGAGATGTGCTCGGTCGAGCACGCTACACCGGCCGAGTTCTCTGCACCGACCTTCGCCCCTGCTCCTCGAAATCGACTACATCTGCGACAGAAGCAGTTGCTCTGCGGACGATCGCCTCGGCGACGAAGTCAAAGCCGGCTAAGTGGCACGCGAGGCTCGCGCACGTCGGCATCGACACGATTATGAGCTCGGCGAAGCATGAAGTTGCCATCGGCCTGGACATCTGGAGCCGACGTGCCGTGTACCTCCTGTGTTGGCGGCAAGCTGGCGCGTCATACGTTTCCAGAGATGGGATCAGAGGCTGCAAACGCCCTCGATGTCGTGCACATTGATCTCTGTGGCCCCTTCCGTGTGGCCGCCGCAGATGGGAGCCTCTACTTCCTCCTCCTCAAAGACCGCAAGACCCGCTTTGTGTGGGTTCGCCCGATCGCGAAGAAGAGCGACGTGCTGGTCGTTTTCGAGAAGTGGCTGAAGGAAGTGGAGCGACAGACTTCGATGACGGTGAAAAGGTTGCGCTCGGATCGCGGAGGCGAATTTCTTGGCAGGAAATTCACCGAACTTGTCGAGGACAAGGGTATCCTCCACAACCTCACCTGCCCCTACACTCCGCAGCAGAATGGCATGGCGGAGCGGGAGATGCGCACGGTCGTCGAATCTGTGCGGACGATGCTGCTTCAC